AGGAGCTGCCACCGCCAGGCACAGACACAGACGGGAAGCACACAGGAAGCATGCGGCAAGGGCAGGTCCCATCCTTCCCCCCGGCCTCCCGACCCCCAAAGGCCCCACACTGGCCAGGCCACAAAGCAGATGTGGGTCCCAGCCTGGTATCCATCACCCAAGAAGAGAAGGGGGTTTAGAGCTGAGAGATAACGTGCCTGGCATGGTCCATCCCTCTGTCCACCAAGCACGTCCATAAACCTCCAAAAGAGATCAAACTGACTCCATGGCCCTCCAGGCAGGCGCAAACAGTCTTCATACAGAGGAAGATGGTCTCATCCTCACCCCAAAATGAAGCTGCGCTAAATCCCAACCACTGTATGTATCTCTCGGCTGTGTGACTTACCCCTCCAATTGAGTCACAGTCTCACCTCGGTAGTCTGTTACTTAAGGGCTGAATGGTAAAATTAACCTCCAATAAACTTGCATAAAATCATAATGAGAAGAAGGTAGGGAAGAAAACCTATGTGAGCGCACACACAATAAAAAAAGAAAAAACAGCCGGGCTCGGTGGCTCAGCCTGTAATCCCGCGCCTTTGGGAGGCTGAGGTGAGTGGATGGCCTGAGCCCGCGGGTTCGAGATCCGCCTGGACAGCGAGACCTCATCTCTACAATAAATCAAAAAATCAACCGGGCGTGGTAGCGCATGACGGTAATTCCGGCTACTCGGAAGACTGAGGCGGAAGGATCGCCGGAGCCCAGCAGGTCGAGGCTGCGGTGGCCGGGAGCGGCCACTGCACTCCAGTCTGGGTGACAGTGAGACTCCAACTCAAAAAAAAAAAACATAAGCACGGGTGCCATAGTCCTTGTTTCTGAAACTGGTCGTGAAACCACGGGAGTATGCCCAACTTCCTTCTTCCACTGTCCATCCCAGATTTCCTTGCCCTGTCCTCAGCTGGCTGGGGTTCTCGTGGGCTCATCTTCATTCATGTAAGGCCTGAATCCTCGGTGGCCCTTTTTGCTGTTTTTGTAAAACTACCGTCAACTGCTTTTGGTCCTGAATAGTGTTCATGTCCTTCTGTCTCTTTGCATGTCTCTTCACCCGGGGACTTAAATATGAGGGGGGACCCAAAGCTTGTCAGTCTTGATGCTTTTAGGTGTTTGGGGTTTTTGTTGTTGTTTGGTTTTTTGTTTGGCTGGTTGGTTGGTTTTTGTTGTTTTGGGGGGGTTGTTTTTTGTTTGTTTCACCTCTTCTACATCAGCAAAACATTTCCCTTTGAGGACTTTTTCCATCAGGGAAACCAAAAGAAATTCACTCAGGGAAAGACTGGGTGAAGAGGGAGGCTGCGGCACGGGGGACATGCCGCTTTTCGTCAAAAACTGCTGAACACTCAGCGCAGTGCAGGCAGGTGCACGGGTAAATCCCCCATCATGAAATGGACAAAAGCGCTGAATCTCAAAAAAAAAAAAATCACTGAAGCTGAACGCAGCCTCTCACAACAACGCTGGCTGGTCCACAGATGCCAATGGGTTCATCTAGGGGGATGCCTAAACTACAAGGAATCACACTCCAAAAAATAATTCCAGTTTTTTTGTGTCCCCCCTTGTATGCTGGATGAGCATGAACCCATTGCAACACATATTCCGCATTGGAGCTCAGACTGCTTTCCCTGAGCTTCTAGAAGACGTGTGGCCCAGGTTGGCTTTTCTACTTTCATAAGAACTGCCTCTCAGGTTGTTTTTCTTTGAGGTTCAAAACCAGGGCAACTGCTCAGGATCTGGGAGAACTTTAGAAAAATCCTAACAGCTGGCCCTTGTGGTTTTCAGGCTCTCTGCTTACCCACATGTACCTAGATGTCACCTTGACTGTGTCCCTGTCCTGGCCAGATTCCATTCCTAGCAGTTTCTCCGCAGCTGGGTCCCTGCCCTGGGAGGCAGCCCAGGAGGGTCGGTGTAGACCGTGAAAGCCCTCCACCCATTCAGACCTCATGAGGCCTCTGCAACACCGCTGCCGGATAGAGCAGGATCCTCAGATGGCCAGGGGCACCTTGCCACCATGTTCTCAGGCCCAACCACTGTCCCCACTTCCTGATGCACGAGAGTGGATGCCATGCTGGGCTGTGGTGCGGGTGACTTGTCTGGGGATCATGAGAAGCTCCTGGGAGTGTCTCATCACTGACACTGCCTTTTGCTTTCTGCTCTTGCTCTGTCGCCCTGTCTTTACGTGGGGACCAGGGAAACCCAGACACTGCAACACCACGTCCCCACAGCCTCCACCTTCCCAGCCCCCCCTTTAAAGCCCTCCTACCTGTGGCCCCCATTTTTCCTGCTGTACTCAACCAGCTCTGAGAAACTTGGCCTTCGTGGTTCCCAGCACTGTCACTCACCAGTCCTTCCGTGTCTCTCCCCTGAGTTTGGCTTTCCTCTCTCATCAAGGGCTTGGGAGTGGCAGGCGCTCTCAGTCATTGCCTGTGAACATCTTTGTTTCCCTGCTCTTGGTTAATAAGTGCCTAGCTGGCTCTACCACTCTAGATGAGACCACTGCGCCATGATCCTCTGGCTTCTAGGATGGCTTTGGATATATGTCTGCTGCCATCCCGCCCTGTGTAGGTAATGACTTTTTAACAGAGGGTCTGGCTATGTTGCCCAGGCTGGTCTCAAACTCCTGGACTCAAGCCATCCTCCCGCTTCAGCCTCCCAAAGTGCTGGGATTATAGCCACGAGTCATTGTGCCCAGCCATGGATTTTTAAATTCTACAGTGTAGGAATCTGCCAGTGGGTGACAAGGCGAGCATTGAAAAAGAGGAAAAAAATAATGTGATTAAAAAGGACAGTGCATCAGCCTGTAATCCTGGACTTTGAGAGGCCGAGGTGAGTGGACTGCCTGAGCCGGCGGGTTCGAGACCCGCCTGGGCAACTTGGCGAGACCTCGTCTCTACAATAAATCAAAAAAATTAGCTGGGCGTGGTAGCGCGCGCCCGTAGTTCCAGCTACTTGGAAGGCAGAAGCAGAAGGATTGCCAGAAGGATTGCCGGAGCCCAGCAGACCGAGGCCGCGGTGGCCAGGAGCATGCCACTGCACCCCAGTCTGGGTGACAGAGTGAGACTACAACTCAAAAAAAAAAAAGGGACAGTACAAGTGGAACTTCAAGCTCTCCAGATCAGGCAGGAGCTGCTGGTGGGGTCTGTGCAAAGGTCTCACATAGGTAGTGCCAGTCAGGAGCCCTGATTCTTGAAGTCCTGAGGTCTGTCCTGGGGAGGACAGGGACCCCTCTGGCCTTCAACAAGCTGAGCCAGGGCTGCTCCTAGGGCCCACTTTGCCCAAAGTCCGGCTCCAATTTCATGCCGCAAAAAGCCTCAGTGTGCTCTCCCTGAACACCCTGGAGGGAGCCATCTAGGGTCTAAATGAGCCCCAGAAAGAGGTCAGTCCCCCCTCCTCCCGTGACTGAGGCCCCATGTGCCCTGGCACCCGAGCTCCAAGCCCGCCCCGTCCTGCTCCCACTTGGTGTTTGATTGGTGATCCTGCTGTTTCTAGAACATACCGAGCCCCGTCCTGCCCTGGTCCTTCATGTTAGCAGTCCATGCTCAGATCTCCTCCACCCCCGGCCTCCCCTCAAATATCAGTGTCAAGTGGCTGGTCACCAGAGCGAGGAGAGCCAGGCGAGGGGCCAGGGCGGCCAGGACCGGGTGAGGCACTTTGCCCCCACAGTCACCCACCCTGGGGAAAGCAGCTGAAAAGGGCATCAACCCGAGGCAGGCATGGGCTTTGTAGTTAAGCCATCAAGAGGCCGACACTGGTCCCTGCAGCAAGACCCCACAAGGCCCTGTGGCTCCTGGCATCCAGTCTCTCCTAGGGAGGTCAGCTGGCCCTGCGGCAACAGGGGATCCAGGGCATCTGAGTGGGGACATGCTGCAGCAGGCGCTCGTGTCCACCCTGCTCTTCAGCTTGGAATGGTTGGTCCCAATCTTGCTACTGGCCACTGCCCTTTTCCTGGGCAACTCCCGGGGTCGGGCTGTAAGGGTTCATTTCCCTCTCCAGTGACCTCTTGGCCCCCATAGGACCACTCTCCCCATTGCCTCACTCCGAACCACTGCTGACAGGAGGTTCCTTGACAACTGCCTCTGCTGCTCCCACATGCAGGCGGCAGGCTACCATGTGCTCTGCCTCTCCAGGCAGGGAGTTGGGACCAGGAAGAGAATGGGTGCACAGGTGGGCCAGGCCACAGGACGAGGCCTGGAGGAGCTTGCATGGGGCCAGGGCACTGCTTGGGAGATCACTGCCCTGTTGGCTGCAGCTGTCACTGCTTGCTAGGGTGGACAGGCTGCACAGCCAGCGAGCTGAGCTGGCCACAAGCAGCCAAGGGATGAGTCCAACACTTGTACCTGTTGGGAGCTCAATGTAGCCACCTTAATGGGCTGGCGCTGCCCATCCCAACACACCGACGATTGCAGGACACAGGAATAGTCCCAGACCTGGCTCATGGCAACGTAAAGGGGATTTTACTGTCATAAAATCTTGTTTAAAAACCCACATCCAAGCCGGGCTCGGTGGCTCAGCCTGTAATCCCACGCCTTTGGGAGGCTGAGGTGAGTGGATTGCCTGAGCCCACAGGTTCGAGACCCGCCTGGGCAGCGAGACCTCATCTCTACAATAAATCAAAAAATCAGCCGGGCATGGTAGCACATGCCTGTAATTCCGGCTACTTGGAAGGCTGAGGCGAAAGAACTGCCAGAGCCCAGCAGGTCGAGGCTGTGGTGGGCAGGAGTGGCCACTGCACTCCAGTCTGGGCGACAGAGCGAGACTCCAACTCAAAAAAAAAAAAAACCCACATCCCCCCCATAGTGGTCTATATTTTTAGTGTATATAGAGTCCCCTTGTACAATGTGTGATACAGTTTTGCCATCTCATTTATACCCAAGATGTATTTACTCCAGACACTTGGAAGAAACCTATTTTAATTAAGAGACACTTCCATTTAGTCAAAGAATTGGTACAAAGGGCTCCACGTGAAGTGATCATTTATTAGCACTGGTGCTGTTTGACATGACAGGTTCCAGTAAATAAGCCGAACTGCACGGAAGTGACAGAACAGGCCAGGCGGGACCAGGACCACGGCTCACTTCTTCCACTCGTTCTTGTCGTAGTCCCACTTGGCAGAGAAGCCCTGGATGGGGTTGACCTTCATGTCCAGCATCCTCTTGGTCTGCATGGCCACCCAGTCTTTGTCGAAGGTGTGTGGGATGGGGCCATACACTACAGTGCAAGACAGTGTCATGCAGGACTGCTGGCACAGGCCGCCCTAAGCCAACACCTCCCTCAGGGCAAGGTCCTCCTGCACACCAGCCCCAGGTCGGCAGAGCCACCCATCACTCAGCACCTGCTCCAACCACTGCATTCTTTCTTCTGAGCACTGACGACTCTAGGTATTTTTAAATGATTCCTTTGCTCATAAAAAGTTAGCAATAAACTAATTAAGCTAAAAGCAGAACTTCGGAACAAGCTGCAGACAAAGGGTCTAACGACAGCCAATGTGACTTGGGAGAAGATCAAACAACAGGCGGGGCTGGGATGAACCCACATCCATACTCAAACCAGAGTGCAGGGAGCCACTGCGAGACCTGTTCCGCCTCAACAGAAAGCAGCCGGGAGCAGCAGTGGCCCAAACAGTGGGTAGCCCGCCAGCGACTCGGCAGGAGCCGGAAGGTCTGAAGCCCAGGACTCTGGCTGGCAGATCAGCCCCCAGGACAGCTGAGACGGTCGTTGCGGGCATGGCTTCCGCCTCCTCACTCAAACCCTCACAAAGTCGTCCCTCGACAAGTGACTGTTGAGCAGCTAAGCCACCCACGAGCATATGGTGTGCCACAGAAAGCAGGATTTCACCAGCAAGCAAGTGCGGCCAGCCATGAGCCACTCAAAGTCTGGCATATAGACTAGCCTGCCAGGCCTGTTCCCCAAGGCCTGGACAAGACCTGAGCTGGAACCAGACTGGAGCAGACAGGGTATCTCACGGCCCCAAGGCAGTGTGGCGGCCCCACTGCCCCCACGGAGCACCATGCTGGCTACCCCCAGGCCCACAACAGGCACTTGTGCCCCTCTGCTCTCTGCTCACCATAGTGCTTCTCCCAGATGATCACGAGTGCCGTGAAGCCAATGAAGAACATGGCAGCGCCCACCACCGTCTTCCACTCGTTGGTGCCCCTGTTCATCTCAGCAAAGCTCTCGTTGAACTGGATGCGGTACACTGGGGACAGGCAGGGCAGTGTTCAGACATGAGGTCAACACTCCCCCTTCACAGGCTTCGACCACTTCTCCCCAAAACACTTGCCAGGGAGCTGAGGGCTACCACACTGGCCTAGGCAGGAACATGCTCCCACCCATCTGCCACACATGAGCTCACACATTGGCGTGTGATGGAAGAAGGGAGGAAAGTACACGGGGTGTGCGCTACACAGTGGAATTACAGCGGAAGGGCCAGTCTAACCACGAGACTCTCCTGCCCCTCACCCAACACTCAGCGGCCCGCTGCTTTCAGGAGGCAGGGTCCCACCCAGCAGGTGTGCCCAGGCTACACCCACACGCTCTGCTCTTCCCCGGGTCTCTGAGACCACAGAAACCAGGTCTCTGAGACAGTCGCCCAGAAACCCAGCAGTGATCCTGTTACATACAGCGGCTCTCTGGACAGTCACCCAGAAACAAGCAGAGGCTGGCTCTCACCCTCTCCCTCTCTCCCCTCTTCCTTCTCTGTCTCTCTCTTTCACACACTCACACAGACACACACACAGTCCCGAGAGCTGCACGCGCCTGCATGGCCCCCCAATACCCACACTCGACTTTCTCATCCAGGGAGAGGCTACTCCAGGATGCCTTCTCCTTCTCCTTCAAGGCCTTCTGGCTGGCAGACAAGTGCTTGACGTGAGCGACGTCGGGCAGGGGGTAGTCACGCCGGTCCACGTAGCTCGGGAGAGCATAGTCTTCACTCTTCACAACACTTCCTAAGCACCACGGTGGACAAAGATTTGAAAAGTCATGGACTGAAGGCCACAAACAAGGTGACGCTTACAGACACTGGAACAAGCACATGTATGCAAACCTCAAAACTATCAGACATCTTGGGGTCACTGCCACTTCTCAAACAGGTGAAGGGCTGTGGTGTGGACAGGGCTAGCAGAAGCACTTTAATCACAGCAAAGAAACCTACCAGGGCAACTGTCAAGTACCTGGGCGAGGCATCAAGGTGGCGCTTCCTGCATGACTCCCCCCCACCACCAGAGGTGGCCCAGGGTTCATGAGTTCCCTGCCCTGAGGGACACAGGACTAAGGCCTGTCTGCCAGGAACTCAAGCCAACAAGGAAGAACAAGAGCAATGTGAAACTCATGAAAGAAACAGGTGTTCTGACATCAGAACAAACGACTCATGAGAGGCCATCACTGCAGCTTGTTCCAGGGATGACCCGCATCCTACGGGGGTCAAGTGGGAATCATGCCCACCCCTCAGGAATGAAGGTCACAGAGCCATGCACCCATTTACTCAACAATTATCTGCCATGCGCCTTCACAGGCTAAGTGCAGCTCTAGACGCTTAGGACCCTCAGTGAGCATACCCAAGATCCCTGCCTAGCAGTGCCTACATTCTATAAGTGGAATACAAACAATAAACACGACAAACATGCACATTACGTATCCAGAGAAAGTGCCTGGAAAAGAGAAGTGCAGTAGGTGAGGGGCTGGGACACATGCAGACGCAGGAAACCAGGAGCCACAGCCCGAGGACACAGCCACTCAGGAATCCAGGGGAGAGGTGACCTGCACACACTATGGCGCACGACAGGATCAGTAGGGTTGTTTTTTCTAAAATGTGAACCATGGTCGGGCTCAGTGGCTCAGCCTGTGATCCCAGCACTTTGGGAGGCCGAGGTGAGTGTATTGCCTGAGCCCATGGGTTTGAGACCAGCCCGGGCAACTTGGCGAGACCTCATCTCTACAATAAATCAAAAATTAGCCAGGCATGGTAGCTCTCGCCTGTAATTCTGGCTACTTGGAAGGCTGAGGCGGAAGGATTGCCAGAGCCCAGCAGGCCGAAGCTCAACACTGGGGTGGCCGTGAACGTGCCACTGCACTCCAGCCTGGCTGACGGAGTGAAACTCCAACTCAAAAAAATAAATAAATACAAACAAAAAATAAAATGTGAACCATGTGCATATACTCACATGTGCACGTAACTAACCCACAAAAATTCCCAATGCAGGAAACTCCAGACTGCTATCTGTGGGAGGAGGCGAGAACTGAGCAAGGCTTCTGTTGTTTTGGGGCCTATGGATGAGCGCATCTCATGCGAGGAAAGCTCGGACAGCAGCAAAGACGGGTGCACCTTGGTTTCTATTTAGGGTTCTCCAGCTGCTAAAAGCCATTTCTCCAGCTCCATCCTACACCTCCAAGAACACTCTCTGGAGGTATGAAGCCCTGCCAAAATGCTTCACCTCCATTAGCTGACTGTCAGTGACGCAAGTCCCCCAAATTGAGCTACTAGTAAAGAAAACATTTAGCCTTCAAAGCAGGGTGTGTATTTCTCTAGATGTTTACCTCGGCCCTGCAAATGCCTAGTGTACTTACGTTCGTGTACTCAACCTCATCCCAAAAGGGTCTCAGGTAGAAGTGGCCAGAATTAATTTTGATTTTAAAACCCTGATTCTATTAAAATAAGTAGACTAAAAAGAACAGCTGTATACTAAAAATTCTTACCAAGTTTAGTCCAAAAAAAAAAGTCTCTAAAAAGCTGAAAGCACTCAGCTTACACATGAGAGATATTTTTTAAAAGATGTCAGCTGAAGTGATGAGAATGTTTCTAGAATCAACCGTGGTGATAAGGGCACAATTTGGTGACTATACTAACCGTCAATGAAGCATACATTTTTTTTTTTTTTTAGTTGGAGTCTCACCCTGTCGCCCAGGCTGGAGTGCAGTGGCACACTCACAGACACCACAGCCTCAACCTGCAGGGCTCAAGCGATCCTTCTGCCTCAGCCTTCCAAGTAGCTGGAACTATGGGCATGTAATCACCACACATGGCTATTTTTTTGTTTTTATTTATTGTAGAGACAAGGTCTCGCCAAGATGCCCAGACAGGTGAAGCATATACTTTAAGTGGGTGACTTTTTGATGAATTACATCTCATAAAGCTGTTATAAAGCGATAAACCCTCATAACTTTTGAAGCATGCAAGCCATAAACTTGCATTTTCTAGAAAATGAATGGCCCTGGTCTCCCCGCAAATAAGGGAAAAGCAAATGTTAATATACCCAGTATTCTTTTTAAACAGAAAAAATGCAAAGATCCCGATTCTAACGAATGTTTGCCATTTCTGTCTTCAACATGAATTTTTTTGCTACATCCGTGCTAGGCAGATCTGGGAAATCTGAGCTCTCCCTCACTCAGGTTGTCACCGCAAACATCCCAACCAGTGACCATCAGTGATACCCTGCATCGCTTTACACTTTTATGTTGAGAATAGGTTTATGTATTATTCACGCATGACTTGTACAATCAGAAGGCAAGCCTTGTCTGAGACGGCAGTGCATGTGTAACTGCTACTGTGTGCTGGAAATGCGGCAGTAACTAAGACAGGCAGAATCCCCATCTCCAAAGGCTTCCGCCTCAGAGGCAGAGGAAGACACACTCAGATAAGACAAGCAGCCACACAGCACATGAGGGCTACAGAGAAAACAAAGTGAGGTGATGCGACAAGAGCTTCCTGAGAAGGGGTGGCCAGGCGAGGCTGCTCTACGCTCACACTTGCAGAGGAAGAACGCCCAGAGGGCACAAGCAGCCACACCTCCGGGCTCCGGGGCAGCACAGAGTGAGGCTGGGCTTCGACAGTGAGCAAGAGGGAAGGCTGCTTTCGGTGGCGGTTTTAGCTGTTTGAATGCAGTATTAGTAATGAGATCAGAAAGGCGGGCTGGAAATGTCGCCAGGACAATGAGACCGTGGGGACTCCCCAGGAGCCTCCCCGGAACAAGGCCAGGTTCAGTGCTTCTACTACTCTGCAGTTACCCCACCTACACTGTCTTCACCTACCTGTCCCTCTCCAGACTGCAAGCATCCTCAGAGAGGGTCCACATCTCCTACTCTTTTTACTATCAGTGCCTCGGAGTGTCTGGTACAAAGAAGGTGTTGGAGAAACGCAAAAGTAAACTTGCTGTGCCAGACAAAGAACTAAGCTCTTTACGTGTATTTTGGATGAGGAAACAGATTCCTAAGCTTAGGAAGCTAGTCCAGGATAAAAATGAGATGCAAACCCAGCTCAGAACACTAAATCCAAGCCCATACATCCATGGCCTCTATAATGCAAAAGGAAGTTACATGGTTTGGAGTTTTGTGAGGGGAAAAGATCACGCAGGTCAGTTATGGTGAATATCTCTTGAAAGGGGTGGAAATTGAACCTGAACCTGAAAACAAATGGAAAGGAAGAGAAGGAATAAGGGGGCGATATCAGTAAAAGTAAGACCAAAACTAGTATTTCATTTAACTTATCAACACTTACTCTATAACTAAACCCTGTGGGAAGATTTCCATCTCCCCTGATCTTCAATAGCAGGATTCAGATCTTGGTCCTCTATGAAACTCCAGCACAGGGTCCTGGAGCAAAGTGAAATTAGCTGAGCCTATTTAAAAGAAAAGTCACACTTACCGTGTGCTCTTACACACACCGAGGTGGAAAGTGCTCGCTTCCCAACAAGGCTAAATACCCTGGTAGCCAGCATCCTGAAAGAGAAAACATACACCTTAGCCATGAGCGTGGGAGGACATCAACTGGGAATGAGCCTCCCTGACCCAGAGCATTTCAGAAGTGAATGCAATTCCTTCCTTTGCTTCTCCTCAGCATAAATCAATCATTTTCTCTCACTGGCTGAATTCATAAAAGAATCTGGGATGAGGTTTTTCTTAATAGTCAGCACGTTTTTATGGAACTTCATTATAAACCAAGGGTCATAATATATATGTGCTCCAGACAAGTAACAGAAAATTGACCCTCTTAAAAGGAGAGAAAGTTTAATGACGGAAAATTCCAGAAATCATTCAAGAACCGCGCTGCCCTGACAGGCTCCATTCTCTGGAGGTCAAAAGGTAGCAGCTTGCCAGGTGCAGCAGCTCATATCTGTCGTCCCAACACTTTTGGAGGCAGAGGCGAGAGGATTGCCCGAGCTCAGGGGTTCGAGACCAGCCTGGGCAACATGGCAAGACCTCATCTCCACAATAAATCAAAACAGCAGGGAGTAGTGGTGCAGGTCTGCGGATCCAGCTACTAGGAAGGCTGAGGCCGAAGGATCGCCTGAGCCCAGCAGGTGAAGGCTGCGGTGATCGCTAGCCATGAGCTGCCACTGCACTCCAGCCTGGGCTACAGAGTTGAGACACCAACTCAAAAAAAAAAAAACGGGTACCAGCTCACAGAGAAGGTGGCCGCGTCCACTCGCCCGGGGACCTGCTCAAAGCCTCACGCTGCCTGTGCACAGGCTGGAAGGGGCCATGGGAAAAGGCTGCAGGTCCAGCCCTGTCCACCTCCAATCCACATGGAGAGCGGGCCACCGAGCTGAGCCCCGTAGGCGGGGCCTTGAATTCAGGCCACTCTACCCTATACGGCCCTTCAGATCGACCCTGCCGAGGACCGCAGATGACGACTTGGGAAAATGACCCGCCTTAGAGCAAAATAAACCAGCATGACGTCTGGGCTGAACGCTCGCGCTGCTTCTCTCCCCGGGCCTGGCCGAGCGTGCGCGGACGCCGGGCGCCCTCCAGCCCTCGGGGAGCCCCGTTAGCTCCGGGGCGGGGTCGCGGAGACCTTGGCAGGAGGGAAGCCGAGGCTGCAGGCGCAGACTGGGCCTGCCGCCCCGGCCGCCGGCGGCCTCGGTCAGCGGGCGCCCCAAGGTCAGAGCCGAGCCCAGCTCGCAGCCGCGGGGGGACGGGTGAGGCCGGGCCCAGAGGCCGCGGCCTAGCGGACCCCGAAACCC